AGTCAAAGGTTTGTATTTTTGCTTTCTGTTCATTTTTTATTGACTGGCACCCTAACATATCAATGTTGCCTTTGGCAATAAGAGGAAAACAAGTTGGCCAACTAAACAGCTGATATTTTCTGTGGTCATCAATGAAATATAAGAGAATCTTCTGACCCTTAAAAAATTACCTCGCCAAATTGTCTATCACAAGACAAGATAAAAATTTTGCACTTAAGGGATACAAAAAAAAAAAAGAAAATCATTTTTTTTTTTTTTTACTTGAACAGCATAGCTTTGACAAAAAATCTAATCCGAAACTGGAAACATTTTTTAACATTTCCAAATCTAAGCTTTATTGCTTTTCAAAGAATTTATTAAAAGACCTTAACAATTCAAAAGCATAAGTTTTTCTTTTTGTTTTTTGTTTTACAAGACTTAAACAAGTCTTCTTTGTAGTAAATAGAAACAGAGTCCAGCAAAGGGACAGTGTGAACCATCATTTTGTTGCAAGTCTAATTGGTATAAAGAGCAAAACAACATAGATAGGTAAAGAAATTCAATAGAGAGAAAGCATTCATAACATTATTAATCATTGTAATTAGACTAACATATGAAAGAAGAGTTAAGTAAGTAAGGCTGTAAGTGAAAAAAAAAAACTGATTCAGCAGAGCAAAATCATTAAGCATTATTAGCCAAACAGATCAAAATAGTAAAGTTATAAGCAGATTATCAGTATTGATTTAAATAACGTGTTCAGTTAAAAGAAAAACATTAATTATTCCACACATTTCACATGCATATTCATGTTTCTAACAGCAGTTCATATTATTTACTCTTACTTTTGTTAGATGTTAGGTCTGCTGGATTTTAGAAGTAAATTGATACTCCCTCCTCATTTCTGCTTTTATTAAAAATAAAATATATCATTCAACCTTAGTACTTGGTTCCCTAGAACAAAATGGTTCTTTAAGAATTGGCATTTCCTTAAAGATTTCCTTCATGTTAAGGATTAATGCAAATTTAATTCCTTTATAAGAGTAAATGAATGGTGTTCTTCACTTCAGGCCAAGTCATAGTGCAGTGGAAGGCAGAAATTGGAGGCCTATCTCAAATTTCATTAATACACTGGGAGCAAAGTGTTTTAATCTCAGCCTGGGTTTGTCGTAGTTCATTGCTGTAGTCAGTTTAAGAAATGTTCACTTTATACACTTGAAATAACTTTAGATTATTTAATTCAATAACATTTATTTTATTCCCTTTGGACTTGCTATATTATTTGATGTTTACATTGCGAAACATGTTTTTGCACAAAATTCACTATACAAATATAATTTAGTTAACCTGCTTTCATTACTTAATTTAACATTGAGTTAATTTAATATTCTTTTCTATGAATTTTTTTATTCATAAACACAAATCCACTAATGTACAACTTTTATTTATTTTTGTGCAATCTGTATTTCTGCTTCTAACAAATGAAAAAAGCATTTTTACCATGATTCTTATACCAAAATCTAACATATTAATTTTCTTTTAATTTAAAGAAATAATTGAATCCATCTTTTTTTCTTGGCTTTATTACATGTTACAAAATTTCTTCTGAGAATACTAATTTTAATCTTTTGTCAAGTGTCATTTTTTACAGATTTTTCTTCCAAATGCTAATTTTCTTTGGTTTTACACCACAAAGATTTATTTAAAATTGCTTTTGTTACATAAGTTAATATTTTTCTCAATAATACTGTTATGAAAAACATATATTGATGCTAAATTTTCTATGGTGTAATTTGTGTTTTTTTTAGTTCTAAAAGGTATTTTTCAAAAAAAAAAAAAAAAAAAAAAAAAAACATACTGAATTTTAGTTCCATTTACAATTAAAAAAACAAAATAGGGCAGACACATTTTATACTATAAAATTCGTGAAAAATCGTTTAGTAAGAATGCTGTTAGATAAAAATCAAAATAAAATTCAATAAATTGAATTCAATATTTTTAGATATTGTAAATGTGTTTTAAAAGCACATTTTTTTCTTAGTACTTCTATAATTATAAAAAAGTATATTTATGACAAAACAAGTCAGTATAACAATAGTTACTTCATTTCTAAACAATAAAATAAATAAAATAAGTTACCTTCATGTAGCTTCATATCATATTTTTTGTTTCAGAATTCAGAAATTCAATATACTTTCCAATTCATAAAATCTGTTTTAAAGTGGATAATTCAAAGATTAAAATGCATAGAACATTTCCTACCCAAGGTAAGTGATAGATTCGAAGCTCTGCCAAAATTGTAATAAGACCTTAGAAAAGAAAAAAAATATACCAAGATAAAAATATACCAAGATAAATTAATTAAGTTTTCAGGCCAAATTAATTATGTTCTTAATCTCTAATTATTAATTTCTTAAGCCTACTACGGCAGTGAAGTATACTAAAACAAAAGCAAAACTAAAAATTGTTGCTTCCAGTGGAACAATAACATTCAAGATAGGCATTCAGTTCTGGCTTTTATTTGCCCTATAACATGGCCTGAAGAAAAAGAATGCCACACGTAGATGGAGTTGCAGACTACCCTTTTTTTGACAAAATCCTCAATCTGTCTTAAAAAGTGACTTTAATAATCCCCCCACAAAATCGAAACATTTTTAACTATCATCATTTATAGTTATGAATAGCATAATAAAAAGCTAAAATAATAAAGTTTTAAAAATGTATAAATCTAAAAGCAAATTAGTTAAATTTTACTGCAATTTTTATAATAATCACTTCATTTTTATATAAATATTTTGATTAAATCACCTTGAATAATTTTACATGTTAATTAATTTTCAGGCTCAAATTAATTTTTATCAGATTTTAAAGTGTCCCTAATCCATTCATTTTCTATCTAAAAACATTAGTGCACCTTCTAAACTATTCACAATGAAAAAAAGTTTTTAAAGTCTTTATAAAAAGAATTTTTATTTATTACCTGCCTTATGCAAGGACTAAATATTCCATATTTTATCATTTTTAAATTCTCCTTTGTGATTTTAATTTAGTTTATCATAAACAGAAAACATAAAAGATGTTTGTTAATGGCCCAGTCTAGTTTTTAACAGAAAATAAATTTTCTTGTTTTGTTTATTAAAGCAAAATTAATTTTTACAATTAGATCCAAATGTTTTTCACATTTGGAGATAAATAACAGAAATATCTAAAAAGTCCTTCAACCTTTATTCAGGTTTCATTTACCAGTTTAAAAAGTTATTTGCTTCAGTGTGTGCGTGTGTGTACCATTTATAAAAGGTTTTCCACTTTTATTTTAAGAAATTAGTTGCTTCTATAATAAATATAAATGAATTTAAATTAAAAATTTATATCTTCCCAGCATTGAAGAAAAGAAAAGAAAAAAAAAAAAAAAAAAAAAAAAAAAAAAAAAAAAAAAAAAAAAGGAAAAAAAAAAGAAAAAAAAAAAAAAAATTGTCATTACAGACTAATGTTCTATTGTCCCTGGAATGAGGTTAATTTCAAGCACTGGTAAGGTGGTAAATTTTGTTTCCCAAGTGCTAATATCCCTTAAAATTTTTCCAAAATCGTCATAATTCCGTGCAAATGTACATGGTGAACTCGAATTAACAATTAAATTATGAAGAAAAATTAGCCCATTTACTTCTTTTACAGGCTTTCCTTGCAGAAAATCATTACGCACTACCGTAAAGAAATGTAATTTTTTTTTTTTTTGGTAAGTGTAGTTTTTATTTATAACAAAAACAAATTAAATAATACAACAGAACCTTTTTAACCTTTTTTCCGTTTTGAATAGCCAAAAAAAAAATTAAAAAAATAAAAAAATAAAAAAATTACATTTCTTTACGGTAGTGCGTAGTGATTTTCTGCAAGGAAAGCCTGTAAAAGAAGTAAATAGGCTAATTTTTCTGATTACATCTGCGTATGTACTACGCAGTAAATTAGTAATCATGATGGCAGTAATGTGGGGACGAATGACCAACAAGAAGTCCGATTTTTTCTTGTCAATAACTCCAAAATTATGAAGGTTTCTTCATAATTGTTAATTCGAGTTCAGCATGTACTTTTGCATGGAATTATGATGATTTTGGAAAAATTTTAAGGGGTATTAGCGCTCGGGAAACAAAACCAAAATTTACCGGTAAGGCTAGGGTTTCTCTAGTCCTATCTGAAAGGTTTCACAATGAGCAAAGATTTGGTTCTTTGACTTTATTCAACTGGAATATTCTTGTAAAGAACAAAAATGTAGCAAGCAATTTCTAAAGAACTGCCAAATACATTTTAAGAAAAGAAAAAAAAAAAAAAATAATTCTACCAAAATGTATAAAAACAACAAAGGTAAAGATACTTGTCTGAAAAATATGCAGCCTAACAAAAATACTGTATCTTGGAACTTCATCAAGAAGATTAATTCCTCAATCTATATAGAAAAAAAGTAGTTTAGTTGAAATGAGAATATGAAGAAAATTTAATCAGCTGAAATGGATGAATTTATAAGCAGAATTTTAGCTCACTGTCTGTAAATCTTGACACTTAAACAATGCAAATCTTTGTAAAGTGTAAAAGACAAAAGAGGTTGGTAAGTAAAAAAACAAAAAAAAAAAAAAAACAGTTGACAAGAGAGAGATAATAGAAGCAGGTAGAATTGGTGTTGAAAATCTACAACTGCTAACAGTGCAGGGGGGGATGAATCATTTGATTAATGCATAGTGTAGAAGCAAGCAAGATAGGTAGGAAGATAGAAGATATACGTAGGTAGGTAGGTAGGTAAGTAAAAATTGACTCTGAAAACTATAACTGCTAAAACATCTACAGTGCAGTGACAATCACTTAAGTGAGTCAGTGTAAAAGCAAGCAAGACAAAGAGATAGGAGGTTAAAAAAAAAAAAAAAAAAAAAAAAAAAAAAAAAAAATTGGTAGAGGGCAAGAAGTGAAAGTTATAGTAATATATTCATTCTAAGTAAATGTATACGGATAGGTATTTAGGTATATAGGTAGGTAGGTACCATTTGTGCAGGAAATCCATTGCTTCCAGTCTTTCGCATGGTCTCCAAACAATACCCGGTCGGCAGGGTAATCTTCTAGAGCGACTGGGGGAGGGAGTAGCTGGCGTGCCAGTCTGGTTATTTCCACCAGGGCCGGACGCAGCTCTCTTAGAAGCTGAGGTCTTGTCTTCAGAGGCAGCAACAGGCACAGCTGTAGAACACGCCAGACCAGACTGCTTCTCTGTCGACTTCCCTGGCTCTCCCCCACCACCTTTTCCTCCTCCTCCTCCTCCTTTGTCCTCACCCTGAAATAGATAGGATTATTAATAAGACATTTAACAGTAAAACCACTATGACCACCACCACCACCAATAATAATAATAATCTTCATATGGTAAAATCTTTGGGTGCGTATATATATATATATATATATATATATATATATATATATATATATATATATATATATATATATATATATTATTAACTCTTAATCTGACATTTGTAAAAAAAAAAAAAAAAATTACTGTTTTTTTTTTTTTTTTTCTCAAAAAAATGAAATTTGGGAAATTTAATAATTTCCAGAAGTGTTCAAGTTTGCACAGAAGTGTAACATGGTCTCGTCTGAAATCTCAAGACAAAGTCCTGACTTTTCTATGTAAAATCATGCGCAAAACCAAAAGTGCATTATAGAATTGTTTAAATTGATTAAGAGCAAAAGAGATTCTATTATTTATCCTAACTTGAGGAATTTCTTTAGAGAATCTTGTCAAGCTATTCTCAATACTTTCCATTTACATAAGAGCATTTCACCACAGACATAGGAGTTTAGCAGACCGTTAATATTATGGCTGCAAGTTCAATTCTTGTGCCCCACATTTGTGGCCTTGTGTCAAGACTAAAATAAATAAATATCTAAAAGTCCCTGCCATAGGATAAGTAATGTTCTTTGTAGAAACACAAGTATCAGGTGTTCAATCCCCAGTGACTATCCCACTACAATGAGAATGTTTACAGACTAGAACCACTGTATTAACTTCAGAGTCTTCACCCTTGTGGCCTTGTGCCAGTCTAAACTTAGGAACTTGCAATAAGCTTTTTAAGAAAAATATTTTAAACTAAGCAAAAAGTTCCCTTGTGCACACATGTACCTTTATATTGTTCCAATTAGTTTGCAACAAATGCCGCTTTAGTATAAATAATCAATAACTGTCTATCATACCTTGCCTGCTATTTCCAATCAAGAAATTTGATTTCACAAGTATTCATATATCATATACAGGTGGTTGGCTGATCATTAAATTGGAATCAGCAAGCTAACTTCGCAAATCATTTGATTGTTCATTGCTTGTTAGTGAACCAATATTGTTATGGTGACAAACTCTACTAACTTTGCTAAATATTTAAAACAAACACATACAAAAACCTATAGTAGAACAATGATTAGTACCCTTGTCTTACTGAGCCTTATGTCTGACATAAGCTTAGACATTGGTATAAAATTATTTTACTTTAAGAATACATTATCATTTTTGTTCTAGTTGCCTTATCAATTCAGAAACAGGTTTAGGGTGAGGGAGGGGTATTTTGGGGAGATCAGAAATTAAATTTTGTAAATGGACCTTCCACATGCTGTTACTATTTTTATTTATTATTTTCCACAATGGTTTCTCACCAGTTCGTCCCATACAAAATTTCACAGAATTTTCCTCAGAAGCATCAGAAATAAAAAATGGGCGTATGGAGTAAGATTTTTTGTAAGTGACCATTACAATCACCTTGGTTCAAAGGTATTACTGAAAGAATACTTCTTGAAATGCAATGTTCAATATGCTAATAGTAATATTTTAAAATGTTTCTTAAATCTACTGTTATCATACTTTCCAGTATTTTGGGGAGTTTTTTCCTAACCTTTCGCTTGAAGTAGCATAGAATATCAACATCTTGATTGTGTTGCTATTCTCTCTTCACGTTACATGTGCTATCCATTTTAGTTGTTGCTGTTGTTGAAAGTCCTCAAGCAGAATGGTTTCTGTTATTTGGTACAATTCTTTGTGATTCTGTAGCACCAGTCTACAAGATTCAAAAAAAAAAAAAAAAAAAAAAAAAATGGATGGCTCTCACTAAGACCTACAAGCTTCATTATGAGACGTGCATGCCATTCTAGCTGGGTCAGTAGTTAAGTGAAAAAAATCATACCAACTACTAAACAAAGAAACATTTTGATCAGTAACTAAACAGAAATTGATTCTTTTCATTCAAGCTTCATAAATATTTAATCAAAAATCTTTGATTCACCACCAGCCACATGTATGAAAGTCTTTACAATATAAACAATATAAAGAGAGTCTTCTCAGATGCATCACCATATAAATCTTTCACTGACTATTCTTTCTAACAACTAAAAACTTTTAAACTTTCTAAATTTTTGCTAGTCTAAAGCGTGTAGTACATTTCTGTTAGTGACAACACAGCCAATGATAATCTGAATTTTTGACAGATGTTATAACTTGTCTAAGACTCACTTTCATGCAATGGTAAACTTACAAGGTGTACTGGCCTCTTATCTCAAGTTCAATCCTCACAGAGTACTCCACAATTATAGCTTTGGACTAAAATTAACCATGTCTAACAAAAAGCTGCTTATATAATATTTTTCCTAATATTTATGCTAAAAATGACACCCATCAAGTTTTCTTAAAAGGGTCAATAGAAATGTGTTTTTCCTACTTGGGTTTCATGACAGCTTGTAGTTCTTGTAGTTATGTTATTATAACCAATAATAACCGTAAACAAGTAATAATATCCAACTAGCTTAACCAATATTTACATAGTGTTCAAAAATTATACAAGAGTTTATTTCCCATGAAACTAAGTGAGTTACAGAATTTCTTGAGGCAATTCAGTACATTTCAAAGCAACTTAGGAAATGAAATCAAGCGAAAATCAAATGGCAGTTACTGACATCCATCACTCACTCTACCACTCTTATTGTTAATCAACTTAGACCCCGCCTTGTCACAGACACCCAAAATCCATTAATACACAGTCTTAATTTTGTAAAACATTAACAGGCATAAATAATTGCTCCATTGACAAAGTCATCTTGGAAGGAGGATCAAATAAGGTTTATATTTAAAAAAAAAAAAAAAAAAAAAAAATCAGAGAGAGGGTCAATAGAAGGTTTTTTTTTTCTACTAGGGTTTTTTTTTATGACAGATTGTAGTCCTTATAGTTTTGTGATATTATAAGCTAAAGTAAATATCTAAAACAAGTAACATGATAGATACAGTCATCATTAAATTTATAAATGTCCTTAAAATAATCTTCATTACTGATGTTGTTCACCATTTTGAAAGCAACATTTTGTTCCCTACATATAGTAATGATCTTTTTTCCCCTATACATAAAATAGGGATCTCTCTTTTGCTTCCAAATAATTACCAGCCACTGCATTTCTGAATACATTGTGCATCTGTTGAGCAAATATTGGAGGGCACCAGTTATAAAGCTGGAGTTGGTTCAATCTATACTTCTTCCATGTGCTGTGACCCTTCAGGATGTTGACAATCATGACTCTCCACATTTTCCTGTCAATTATAGCTTTTAATAAATTTGATCTTTTTGTTATCTCTCCTAAACCTTGCTCCACCATCCATTTACTCAAGTGTGTTAAGTGGGTTATGCATTGTTTTCCTCTATCCCACTTGCCTTCAATCTGTTCTGTGAGAATCAAATTTTCAAAGCCCTTTTTCTGCATTATGTTCCTTAGAAATTTCAACCATCTCTTCCCGATGTGTTCTTTTTGTTTACATTTCCTCTAAAACTTTGTTGTTGCTCACATGTTCAGTTCATGTTATCCTCAGCATCCTACTGTAGAACCACATTTCTGTTAATTCAAGTCTGTAAGATGATTGTCCAGCATTCAATGCTATATAGGAGTGATATCACATAACAGTTCAGTACTCTGCTTTTTGTTTCTAACAAAATTGTTCTGTTTCTTAACACTTTGGTAATCTTTTGGAAGGCATCTTTCGCTATGCCAATGCATTACACTTTCTGTCTTCTGTTAAAACACTTCAGATATTTAAATTGTTGTACCTTTGATTTTGGTATCTCCAATTTCTAGTTTGCATATTGGACAGTTCCTTTTGCTAAGAACATTGCATTCAGTCTTCTTGCAATTCATGTTCAGTTCTTTCTTTTCATTTTCTTTCATTACCTTCTGTGGGAGTCTTTGTAGTTTTCTTTCTGTGTCCATATACATCTATAGGGTGTCCTTGAAACCAAATGTTGGCTAGTACCTGATCATTCACTGTACACCATTGGAGCCATCTTTCTTCAACTTCATTAGGAGTTTCTCTTCCAAATTTGCCAAATATTTCATCACCTCCCTCATTGCCTATTTTGGCATTCCAGTCTCCCATGACAATTGTAATTTCTTGCAATTTGCATTGAGCCTTGGCATTGTCTAGTGTAGAGTAAAACTTCTCAATTTCTTCTGAACTTTGTGCTGTCAATGCAGATATAACTATGATGGACATGTTCTTTTCAGTTTAACAAGAATTCTTTCAGATAGTTGATAATATCCCAGAACACATTTCTTCATGTCTTGGTCTAATATCAGTCCTACTCCTCTCTCATTTTTCTCTCCACCTGCATACATAATCTTGTTGTTTGTCACTGACAAATCTCAATTGTTTGCCTATCTCATTTTGCATATGCCTAAAATATCAGCATTTAACCTGTTCATTTTCTACTGTCAATGCTCATGTCTTCTTCCCTTACCGAGTGAGGGATCAATTCCAAGGAGCTTGTCGCCCAATACACTGTTTTTGCCAACAGTTGCTGGATGACAGTCAGGTGACACCTGTAGCACATATCCCTCCTTACCAGATGTGGAGTTAATTTCAATAGTCTTAATTAAGCCCCTTCACACCATTATCTTTCATATTTTGATTGTTAAAAGCCAGGAGTTTTCTTGCTGCTTTATAGTGGAGTGGTCTCCCATTGCCTTCTCCACAGTGATTTGATTGAGATACCACTTGTAGTTAACTGGTGATTTAACTCATCAAGAGTTCTAGCACCCTTTGATAGGTCTTATTAGTTATCTTACAGAATTGCCAATAACCCACCTCAATCGCTAGAAATAGGAGAGGGGGAGCGGTTTGGTCACTGACCATAGCATACATGCAGATTGCAGATATACCCATACACACACATTATATAACAAATATACATATTATCCCTCACTGCCCAACTCAGAGTTTCATGCACAATGCAATCTTCAGGTGCTGAATATGGACTGACTGCTATGCAATTTGAATTTTAATATATCGGGTTGTCACAATGTTGGTGAAGTTATATATTATGCTGAGATTACAGTTTTGTAATTTTTAAAATTATATCAGGCAATTAAAATAAGCAAGATTTGTATATGCATGTAAGGAAAAAAAAAAGAAAAATTAAAAAAATTTTATTTGCATTGTGAATATTCATTTTTTAATTTTTTTTAATTAAAAGGGAGATTATTTGTTCTTATTCTAAAAAAAAAAACAAAACATTAATTTATATTCAAAATAAATAGTAATTTACAATAAAAATAAACTGTAATTTATATTAAAAGTTAATATGGATCAACATATTTAAACATATCCATTTTTATGCCTACATGTAACTATTAATTCATTTCTTTTGTTTAATAAGCTAGTTTTTTAAGTGTTTTACCAATTTTTCAACAAGACATAAGTTACATTTATTTCTTTTCCATTTTAAGATTTAGCTCTAGTTATAATTTCCCAGTCGATT